TAATTTCAACAGTTCACGAAGGAAGAGTGCCACCTCCTGGAACACGAACCGCTTGTTGAAATACCACTGCGTTCTGTGCGGAGCTTGGATTCACTGTTCACACGACAGTCAGCGCAGTGAGGGAGGTCTCCCAAGACCACAATACAAACTGCTGTGAGGCAATTACTTACATCTCTTCATGTCTTCTAGCAAGGTGAACCTCCTGAGCCAAATAGGATGACATTTTCAGTCATTTGCCCCAGATCTGTCACCCTATAAAAGCAAAACCAAGTGAAATTAAAATCTTCCAAAGGCATACATGAACATACACGTTTCAGTATTAAACAATTCCATGTTATAAAGCTGCACACAATATTTATGTATCACCTATCTACACAAAAACCTGCCACAAGACATGGCTACATTGATTTGAATACATGCACGCTACCAATGTTTACAGTATGTTTTAGTATTTTACTGTATTCTAATAATTCATGAGAACTGAAATATGACTTGAGTCATACTTTAGCATTAAGCTTTCTCAAGTTTCAGACACTTACATCCATGCACTTAAACTATGTGCTGCGTAATTTGCGTATTACTGCTTGCATTAGTGATTCCTAGCTTTTGTCGCATTACTCCAAACAGTTATACCTGTAAATATCGTTTATAACTATCTCTCACAGACACAGTTCATAGTGCTTATATACAGGCGCAATGGAAGTAAATAACTTTAATCTCCTAAGCGACGTCGGGTTTTGAGTGTTTGAAAAATTAAGTGAAAACTCTTGAGCTCAGCTCTCCAGTACTATAACACATCTGAAATTGCTTACATCATATTGTGGGGTTTATTGAGCTATGAAGGAGCTCAGCTGCCCTCTGCACACGAACTGAGATCCTACAGCACTTTCCAGAAGGCTTAAAGTGTTTTACGGACACCTCAGAGGTGACTGCATTGCTGTTGTGTTTAGTGATGAAAGAACTCATCACACACTAGCAATGTTGAAGGGTAGAAGAATTTATAGATCCCTTAGGAGAAAATTAGGAAAAGCCATGCTGTGTTAAGACATTCACATGTAACGTTGAAGCAAGTTATTCACACGTGCAGCTCAACAGAGCCATTTTCTAGCGATTTACGTTTTGCCATGGTCTAAAGCGCACTTCCATGCAACTAGCCCATTACTAATGCTTCCCCTCGCCTAGCAAGCAGCACATTCCCTCCACGCTCCTTCCCTCAGCTGGGGAACTTCATGCCCTTTGCTAGCCCAGGCGCCATTTTCCACTCTTCAGGTAACACCTTTAGTGGCAGCTGGAGACAGTAACGCACGGGGAGCACAACCGCACCCACTTCTTGTCTTTAGGGGAGACTAGCCTACACCCAGCAGCGGTAACCAAGCAGGCAGCTGAGCATCCTCCGCCCACAGCGCGGGCACCTCACACGCGGCGGCCCAAGGCGTGCAAGCCGTGCAGGGCCCCGGCCCCCTCAGGAGGCATCGAGGGCCGCGACGGACGCTCCCGCTTCAGGCCAGCGGACCCAACGGGGCACGCAGGAGCCGCCCTTAGCCCTACCATTGGGAGGAAGGGGGGGGGGGGGGAGAGGCCAACCTATGAGTCCACCGGAATGTACCATCCTGTAGGACGGAGGGAGGAGAAGTCAGGCAAGAGAAATTAATTAAATAAATAAATAAATACGAAGACACGGTTTACCTTTAGCCTCGCCGGCTTCAAAAAGGAAAACCACCACCCACCATGGCCTCCGCACCGCCTTAAACCTTCCCCACACCCCTCCTCCCCGAAGCCCGCTGCCATGGAGACGGCCGGAAAGGTGGAGCCTAGGTGTAGGCGCTGATTGGCCCCGTTGCGTCCGAGTAGGCAGAATCAAGCGAGGTCAGGATCCGCCTTCTGCACTGTGATTGGAGGAGCGGAGGAGGCAGGGACCAATCATTGCTGGGGGCTGCGGAGCCGTGGCTGGGACAGCGAGCGTTAGGGGTGAGGGGTTGCCACGGCGGCGTCGGGGACGGGACGGGACGGGACGGGACGGGACGGGACGGGACGGGACGGGACGGGACGGGACAGGACGGGCCGGGCCGAATGGGACGGGAGCCGTCGGCGATTGGCAGCGCTTTGAGTGTTGTTCCGCCGTGATCGCGCAGAGCTCCCCGTCGCACACGCACGGAACATTGGCAGTACTCTGGACCAACTTTGCAGCCCAGATGCGCGGGGTGAACCCACTCCAAAGGGCTGAGGGGGTAGCACTGCCTTTTGCAGAATCTGCTCCTCCCGTTCCGTTCATATTCTCTAGGGACGTAGAGGAGCATTGAAGCCTATTGTCGCTTTGTCGGACAAGGCACAACGTTATGGTTTTGGCACAGAAAGCTTGCTGTGAATGCCAGGCAGATTCTCCACGACGCTTCCAAACGCTATGGTGTGATCCTGTCCTCTGTGTATTAAAGAGCAGAATTTGTTCCAGGCTGAAGAGTTAGAGGCTGACTCGAACACTTTACAGTCAAACTTTCATCAAAATGCACTGAAAAAAGGCACAATTAATCCACTTTTTCTGTGTGTACTTCACAGAAAACATAAACCAAACATTTCTAAGTAAATAACAGCTGAAAGTTAATTTTTCTTAATTGTCATCATTGTTGTCTGATTTACACCCATTTGCAGCTGCAGGTGATTTCTAAAGGTTGCTCTGAAGGCTTGTCTTCCCTGTTTCCCTTCTACACCTTCTCTGATCCTTGTGTTTAAGATGCTTCATCATGAGCCTTTCTTAACACAACAAGATTTTGCTTGTGATTCTTCAGCTCTTTATTTTCTCTCTCTTGTTTTGCCATTCACTGATTTTATATTTCTGTAACAAATTCATATTAATCCCCTTGACATGTAATTGAAGTTCTTTGATGTACTTGTCAGCTTACCTCTGCTTATTGCAGCAGTCAGGTTAAATAGTACTTAAAATCCTATTTTTATTTTTTACCACTGTGATTTAAAGACAGGACTTTCCAATAAATGAAGTAGGAGCCAGTCCTCCTTCCTAATGGTGTGAAAACCTAATGGTTACTGTCTTGCTAAATTCAATGGGAAGCCGAAGTGTTTTGCATATCCTACTTTGAGCTGCACCAGTTCTCTGTAATAGCAGTGATCCTTCTTTCGTGTAGTAGTTAATGAATTTCAGACAGAATAGAGACAAATGGAAGTTTGCTTTACGTAAACCATTATATATGCCATTTGCAGGGAGAATGCAAAGAGCATTTTAGTTAAGCTACAGATACTATCAATTGTTCAGTGTTGCTGAAACAGAGACAGGATGGAGACCATCATTCCTTAATTACCGCTTTATTTGACAGTGCATGAAACACTCATAGCTAATGAGCTATAAGCGCTGCATCGTTTTTTTCAGTATTGTTCTTTTTTTTTTCATTAGAAGAGCAACCCAACCAAATCAGTTCTGAAGCTGTCAAGAATATAAGCTTTAAACAACTTATTTTTGTTGAAAGACTGCTAGCAACAGCCAGAACTCCTCAGCAGCAGGCCGCTTTGGATAGGTGGCTCCTTGTATCTGCACGTGAAGTCAGTGAGGGTCATTATGGAAAGACATTTATAGATAGAAGGCACTTACATGGGGAATCATGGAATAGTTTGGAAAGGACCATAAGATCATCTGGTTCCAGCCCCCCTGCCATGGGCAGGGACACCTCACACTAGACCATGTCGCCCAAGGCTCTGTCCAGCCTGGCCTTGAACACTGCCAGGGATGGAGCATTCACAACTTCCCTGGGCAACCCATTCCAGTGCCTCACCACCCTCACAGTAAAGAACTTCTTCATTATATCTAACTTCAACTTCCCCTGTTTAAGACATTCTCTTGCATATCTGAATGCACTGGGACCTAATGGCAGCATACTCTGTTGTTATATGTGTGTTGTCTGTGTCTCCTCCGTGACAGTTTCCAGTTACACTGCATCTTACAGAAAAAACCTTATCTTTCTAAAGAGCACTTCTCCCCCCCTAGATACTGTGTCTTCATTAGATACTTCTATCTTCATGTTGGATCACTGGTATAAACATCTTAAAAACTAGGTAACTGTGAGTGAGAGCCTGAGGGCTGTATTTACTGCCTAATTGTGCTGCTATGACCAAATGTACACTTCAACACTGGCGTGGTCTCACTGTTGCTTGATCGCAGCCTGCAGCAGAAGTGTTATGTGTGAGACTGGGTACTCCATGAATGTCTAAACATGGATTAAGGACTTCCTGTTAGCACTGAGATTGTGGCCCTCGGTTTTTCTTAACCGTGCAATTCAGGAAGAGGGTTTTCTGGGCGAAGTTGGTGGATTGTAACACTAGGTGGCACTTAAATACAGCTAACAGAACCTTTTCTCTGGTGGAACACAAACCAATCAAACACATTCTGTTCTAACATGCAGTTAATTATATCCTCAAAATGATGTCTTGGATTGATATTACTAAACAAACATGTATAAAATGTAATTACAGACAAGTGAAATAAATAGTGTAGGTTTATAATTGCGAGCTATGTTTTTTGCTTGTAATATGTTACACACCTGTGCGCAGTTTATATAGCTACTATTTTATTTTGTCATTTTTACTAACATTTAGAACGGTGCAATTTAGCTTTATGTGCTTTTATTTACTGCTACCACTTTTTGCCATATGTCAGTTTTGAAAAAATTGACTGGTTTTGTGTATCTATCTGGATTTTAAACCAGGAGTATTTCAAAGGGAAAACAGTAAGAAATGAGGTTTTTCTATGAAACCACTTCAACACTTCTTAAAAAAAAGTATATTTTTAGTTTTTTTACTAATGCTTTGGTTTCTTCTTCTTACCTTCTGGAGGTACACCTCTATTGCTATAGAAGCTTAATACCCACTTGGAAGTCCAACGTCTATCTGTTCATAAACATTCCTGAAGTGATACCATTGGTAAGATATACGAGGCCAACAGGACAGTCTGAGAGCTGTGGAATGCCACCAGAGCAGCTTGTGGCCATCACCTTGGCTTCTGACAGGCTTTTCTATCAACTGCAGAAGTGGTTGGCAGCATTTCTGTCATCAACTGCACAAGACCTGTGTGAAGCTGCTCTATAACAAGCTAAAAAGGTAAAGGTGTGCAAGGAAATACCCCTGCACTGCAGGAGAAGGGTAATAATATGTGAAAAAATGGACTTCTAGTTCCTCTTCCCCCTCACATTCCAGTATACAGAGATTTGCTCTTAACCTCATGGTCATCAGGTCCCATGCCATTCTATGTGCAGGATTACAATTAATTGTCTCTGTGTAGTAAGATTAGAGTTAAGATGAAGCTCATAAATGGTAGGACAACCCAACAACACGTTCCTGTATTTGCATTTTGTTATTTGACAGCTAAGATGTGTATTTTGTGTGAGATAGACTTGTACATGTGTGGAAGTCACCCTTTGTTGAAGAAAGTTGCCAATGCATTACTGTATGCTTAAATAAACCAATGTGCACTATCCATGAGTTCTTGGAATTGCCCCCAGATGTCAGGAGACCTTTTCAGGTGAACCAAAACCCAAACAACAGACTAGGATTGTTTGAGCACCCATCAGCAGTGCAGAAATAGTTGTCCAAACTGGAGACCACTGGGTCAAGTTCAGAACAAGAGTTGACAGACCTGTGGGAAGAGGAAAAAACTTAAAGCTGTGATCGTGAGGGCACAGAGGTGGTGGAACTCCAACTGGTTTGTGTGCCTGTGAAAGTGTGAAGGGCCAGGCCAAAGTGACCAATGCTGAACGAAAAAATAATGGTTGTGGTAGAAGAACATAAGGGAGAGATTGTTTTCTGTATGCTTCAAGTAGAGAGAAAAACCTGAATAGTGGGACAAAGCTTAAGAAAATCAGGATTCAGCTGAAAATTATTTGATTCTTCTTTTGACAAAGATCTTTTTAGGTTCTGGAACAGTCTTTCCAGGTAGTAGTATAGTTGTGAAATATAAACTAGCCTAGACAACTCTTCAGTTTACTGATACACACAGTCTTGTGAAGGGGATGCATGCCCTAACAGATGCTTTCCAGCAGTAGTTTCTACAGCATAGCTACTCCTTTTTGAAGATTTCAAGAAAACAGTTTGGCCCTTGAGTAATAACATTAAGCCTTCTCTTAGAAAAAAAATACTACTACAGGCCTCGACTGACTTTAGCAGATGTACAGGTAGTAGAATGTTTTACAAGTAATTATAAAAACTATTTACAGTAATTAGCTTGAATCTAATTGCTTCTCAGCATGTTAGGATAGTAAATTACAGCTTTATTTCAAACAACTCCTGTTGTCTGTTTTCCCTAAACTGAACACAGGAAACCCGATAAAAACAAACACTTGGAGAACCACCATCCTCAGTTCCTGTTTGAAGTATGTCGAGCAGAGATGCTTAGCTTTGATCTAACAAGCAGCACTTCACTTGCCTCCGTAGACTGCATCCGTCTTCCGCTGCACAGTGAGAACATACTCCTCCTGAGAGCAAGAGGAGGATGCATGTGAAGAAGAGGGACAGGAATACACCTTTGGTTCTTAAGTGAGAGAGTCACATCAGATGATTTATACATGAGAAAGCCTATTTTCCTAGGCTGCCTCCTTAGTCAGTGCAGGGAGATACTTGACAGTGATGAAGGGCTTGAGGCTGAGTATTTGGAGGTGCTCTGAGGGACCAGAGGTATCTTTCTCTGCAGGCTGTGCAGGGAACCTTTTGAAGCTGGCTTCCTCAGATTACTGCCTGTAATTATGTACCTGATCACTGTGTGATCATCTGCTTCAAAACCAACCGCAGGTTCTGCCTGTCACTCCCTAGCGGAGGTTCATTTGAGTTCCTCAACACTGATCTCTCCAACCCCTTGGGCAGAATGCCCATCAGCTTTGGCCTGATCTGAGATTCCTGTTTGAAACCATAGCAAGCTTACTGAGGAGCAAGCCAGTGCCTGGTAATGTTCCTGTGAATCTAATCCCATGCAGGTACTAGTCATTTAAAAAGTCTTCCAAACGCTTTCCCACATTGCTTTGAACAGACTGGACTGTTTAATTTTGTGTCCACTCTTACTCTGGGATGATGATAGACACCATCTTCAGTCTTAGTCCATTTACACTGGGTATACAAGTCAGTCTCTAACTTTTATTCACTCTAAGTAATGCTATTGCCATCTGGTCTTACATTAAATTTCTCTTACTCTGTAATGATTATACATCTACAGAAGAAAAAAATTACTTGGAATTTTAATATATGCATTTATGTGACTGTCAAGATGCCTGATATTAATAGCTTGACTTTTACTGTAAGCAGAGGTAGAAGAAATCACACCACCTTCACAGTTCTGGCACAGTTTCCTTATGAACTGAATTCTCAGCCCATCGTTTCTCCCTCTGGCTCTTGCAGTACAAACCCGAGTGTTCTATTTTTTTATTCCAGTTTAGATTTTGAATGCTTTTATTATGAATTTCTTCAATCCCTGAGAGAAATTAGAGAGGCAACAGTGCTTCTGTTATTGCATAACACTATTTATTGACAATAAAAATAACTGAACTTGCAAAAGAAGCCAGTTGCTAATATAGCCTTTTACTAGGTTGTTGTTATAAAGGTTGAGTCTTTCATTTTTTACAAAAAAGACCATTCTTTTTAAAGAAAGGTCACTCAATCTTTTTAGAAAGATTTAATAAATGACTTTTTCCCCCTTACCAAATTTAGTCTTTTGTTGGAATTGTTTCAGCTCCTATTAAAGCTTCACAAAAAAAATGTACCTTCTATTGTATTTCTTCTAATAGGTTTCTCAGCCTTATAACTGTAATAAATTTGTCAGTCTAGCTTCACTGAACACTGGACTTGAAAATCCTACCACAACAGGTTATAAATATAACCATTTCTAAACCCTTTCAAGAAGTTTCACCCTTTCTTTCAACACATTTTATGTACTCAGCAATTCAGTGAAAATAACCTTTCAGAGTCGTTCTTTAAACTCTTTCTTGGTGATAGCACAAGCAAGTCATCTGATCAGTCAGTCAAAACCCCACGTTCTCTTCCTGTCTCTTCCAGGGTGGGTTCATAGTCTGAGCCAACTCGCTTAAAGCAAATGTTTTCTTAACCGTTCATTCACATGAAATGACCAGCTTGACCCATTTAGGGCCTGATTTTCAGAGTAGCTGAGTGCTTAAAACTGCAATTTAAATGATTTTGAGTGGTGGCCTTAGCACTGCTAAAAAAATAGTCTAACGGCATCTTGTTAGGTAAGCAGAAATGACATTATGGCAAGAAGTGCAAATATCTTCCTTTGCCGAATCTCTTTCCTCTATTTTTCTTCTATGAAATTTGGTTGTTGGTTTGATTTTCTTGTGGTTTTGTTCTGGATTTTTTTAGGAGAGCAGTTACATTTTGTGGGAACACAAACTATTGTTTTGATAAATAATTCTCTTCAGGACATTTCTTAAAGTTTGAATAAATGAACGTAACCGGAATGTAACCAAACCTTTGGAACATTAATAACAGTACTAAAAGCAGAGAAGCAAGCAGCATGATCACATAAATCTAAGAAAAGCAAACAGAATCTAAATATCTCAAGACCTCTGTCATAAAATGAATCAACTTTGCTTTGTAACGCTATGTAAAGAATAAATAGCAATGTATCATATTTGCTTTGTATGGATGAATGGGAAGCAGAGCGAGACAGGGGTTATCTAAGTAATATAAAAGTGTGGTTACTGAACACTTCCAAGGGACATGAATAATCTACAGTAATCCCATATTACAGCACATACTTCAATTCTTCATACTTCAATTTAAACCCCATTTTCCGGTCTACTCATAATCAGCAAATGGAGGAAAAGATGGGCTATCTCACCCCTCTTTGCTTCTGAGGGAATTGCTCAGTTGAGCTCCTTGCAGGCCTGTTACAGGATCTTTGACCAGCTGCGATGGTTATGGTGTGTTTCTGGTCACCTGAGTTAAGGAAAAAGGAAGAAGTATAGAAAAAGCTTTTAGCATGATCATGATAGTAAAGCAAGCTTGTTTTCTGAGAAGAGATTAAAATGTTTGTCTTATTTATCAAAGCAAAAGCAAGAGTATCTGTTTTTTACTAACACAAGTAGAGTTAACGTGAGAGAAAAAAAACGCTTTCTAAGCAAAAAGCTGGGGCTAGCAGAAGGACAAACGGATTTAATCACAGAATGAAGAAACCTCTTGAACACGGAAGCTTGAGGAAAGTGCTGAAACATCAGACAAGTGAACTTGCAGGACAGCCTCTTAGACAGGATGGAGGGGGAGAAAGAGCAAGAAAAGGGATTCATTTTAACACAGACCTCCATCAGTTTGTGGCTGGGAGTCTTGAGACATGGCTTTCTGCGTGACGCCTGGCTTGCAGAGCCTTTCCAATAGCAAGTCTTCCACAGCAGCCGTGTTCTGTGAACAGTGCTGGTGAAATTCCAGAATCACACTACCAGCATCAATATTGCAATCAGCTGGTAGTTGTCTCTGAGAGAAAACTCCAAGTCACCTACTGCTCTGTGCCACTGGCTATGAACAGTACTGCAGAGGGAAAAGCAGTAATAAACCATGTAATGCAGAACTTGTGCAGTCTGCTTAGTTTTGCCTGCTGAGCCAGCCTGCTTGCAGTTGACACTAATGCTGTGGAGGTGTGCAGAGTATTGCTACAGCATTCAGGCCTTGGAAGGAGAATATTCCTAACAAAATACCTCTGTGTTGTAAAGATGTGTCTGTTAGGCTTCCTAATGTAAACTTCTATTTGCTGTGATCTCCCTATGAGCTTTACATTACAAAGTCCTACATGACATTATTTAATGGCTGTTTGTGTGAACCTATTACATAGCCTAAGGCACAGAAAGGCAGGTGAATTTGTATTTTAGCTTTCATGTTGGTTTTCAAATGCTGTCAGTTTAAAATATTAAAATAACAGCAAGTTCTAACAACAGTCTCGGATTTTCTTACCCAGTTGAGTGTCTTAGGCTTTACTGAACAGGGCTGTATTTGTGATCAGAGTTATGGACTCCAGGCTTTAAAATAAGTGGGTAAAAATGTCATTGCTGTCATTGACGTGAAAAGGGTCAGCGCTTGGTTTTCCGTCATTCATGTTTCAGCTTAGCAATAATGTAGTAAAGGAGGTTTTCTTTGGAAAGCTGAAGCAGTAAGTTAAGTTCAGTAAGAAATATGAGAAACTAAATACATTCCAAGGAATGAGAAAATTACTTTCCTTAGGGAGTATCTTTTCTTTTCTTCATTAAACCATATCACAGAAGGATATCAGTTGATGTTCAGCTCTTCAGTTCCTTAAAATGGACAACAGGCAAAATCTGTAGATATAAACAGCAGTTTATACCTGTTTTTAAAGAGCATGTTTTCCTAATTCGATTACAGTTATGCTTTGTGCGTCTGTAGCTGCGCATACATGCATGCACACACATTTCACGTCTCTTTTATCAGTAACATTAGAAGTTGACCAGTTGCAGCCAAATTCAACACCAAATTACTAGTCCCAAAGACATTGCAGTTGTGAAATTTTGTGAGAGCAGATAACTAGTCAGAGAAAAAGAAAGGGTATAAGGATTGCTTACCACTTGCAGGATGTCACAGGGTCCATGTAGGAGGTTTTCCTACCACCTCAAATCCATAGGAAACCAGGCTCCTTGGTTCTGTTATTCATAGAGCTGATTATCTACTTACAATTTTCCTGTATTTAAAGCAAGTGAAATGAAACCAGTTTATATAAGTGATCAAACGATATGCTGCTAAAATATGGACTGCGGTATAAATCACGCCTTTAGTAAGATGCCCTAAATTTCCTCCCTGGAAATGGCTCTTTGTAATTGGCTAATTTCTCAGAATAATTTGTGATACTTTTTTAGACATTGTGCCAACTGGAATAATCAAACAGAACTGATTAAAATTATACTTTCCCAGTTCTATTAGAAAATGTAGTCTATAACTTTTATATACTTTGAAATGTCTTAGACTGTTATAAACACGTTGTCTCCACACTAGAAGACTCATAACCAAGTAAAGAAATGGTTAATAGTCTCTGTTCATGTCTGAGAGTCCATGGGTGTTACCTGTGAGAAAGATCATGGACATACATTGTACATGCAGTACATATATTGTACATGCAGTACATACATTGTTGAGATCCATGGCCTAAATCCTTCCCAATGAGCTGTAGATAGCAAGGTACATCACTGCAAGGTGCTGAAAGTACCTCCCACAAATGTCATCCCTGTCAGTAGAAGATCACTTTCAATGTAACCTGGGTTTTATTTATCAAGCACTTTTGGACGCTGGAGGAGTTGTTTCTGGGGGACATCTGCTTGTACCACTGTAGATACATCATAGAATTAGGAGTAACATTCATTTAAAATTGGAGACCAGCTGAAAAAACTACAGGAATTCATTATGAAAGAAAATTGAGGGGGTTGTTTTTTTTTTCTTAATTAGCGCCAGTTAATTTGGGACACTAAATGTGAAATTATACGAGTCTGGAACTATGCAGTCACTGAGTCATTTTAGAGATGCATTATGAGACAGAATCGAAGTGAATCAGTGAAGAGAAATCTTAAGGGACTTCAGCTCTACTCTGCTGGTTTTGGCTCTTCAGCTGACTGCTCTTTTCCATGAGCCTTCAGTCCTAGCCAGAGAAGAACAACACATGCACCAAAGATACCCACACCAATACCCACTACCCATAGTGATGAGAAGCTGCAGCTGGTGATCCATTTAGTCATTTCATACCATCTCACGCTAGTGTCTGTCTGTGTGGTAAAAGCAACCTCTTGATCTTCATCCTTTTTATGCTCTGCATAATACCCAAACGAAAGGCTAACAGCCATCAGTACAGTGTAGAGCAGGGTGTACTTGGGACCGCAGCTGGAGCAGCCTCTGGCCAGGCAACCCCTATTCCTCTGTGAGAATCTGCAGAGCTGAGTGTGTGACCCCAGGCTGTGTGGCCATGTCAGGAGCAGCTCTCACCACCACTTGAACCAGCAGCTGCTGCAGAATTTGCTCCTCTCAGCTAACAGAGTGTTAATTGCTGGTGTTTAGGATAGAGCAGAAATTGAACATCCATCAAAGGGTGTGCTCTCCACCTTGTTTTGACCCCACACCCCGAGGTGCTTTTGCACAGAAACCTAAGTGCTCCTGATAAGTAACCCAGGATAAGGAGTTATCTTCTAATGAACAATGTCTTTGCAAAGCCCACACTGGTTCCAGGAAAAAAGAAGGGTTTATTTTCCTCTACTGTTTATTAAGAGCTTTTGGTTGGTTGGTCTCATTGCATATGCTTGCAAGACTATGAGGAAATACAAGTGGGAAGGCTAGGAAGTTATGATAACATACACTTGCCTTCTCATCATCTTCTGGTATATTCTGTGTTTAGATTTTGTTTACTAGCTTATAGAAAAGCAATTGGATTAGATTTAGAAAATTACTTATCATTATGTGGGGGTGAGGAGGAAGAGAGAAATTATTCGCTTAATTTGAGTAAGATTTTTAACAGGCAGTTCAATTTCTAGCTACTTTCTAGGCCAAAATAGATGTCTGAAAATCATATTCATCTGAGTGGAAACACTAAGTTAGAAATGGCATCATTCTTTTTAAACTGTCATTTTTTTTCTGCAAAGCTCCATTTGTAGTTACGGAAAAATAAGGCACACGTTATAGAAGTGCTTTAGAAAGAGCCATCCGTCTACAGTCAGGGTGCAGGATTCAGACCTGTTTGCCACACCAGCGCTGATGTTCCAGACAGAGCCTCCCACAATGTAACACAGGCAGAAAAATCTGCACTACTGAGAGTGTAGGAATAGTCATGCAGAATATGGGACAATAGAGGATATCCAGGGAAGGTGATAAGGAACAACAGACATTAATTCTTACCAGGTTCTGACAGTCTGGAGACCAGGCACATCCTGAACCAGAGATTGTATCCACATCTTTGTGTTTACTCCTCAGTTTAAACTCCTTTGTGTAAATGCCCGAGGATAAGGTAAAGAGCACCACACATAAATAGAGAGCAAACCTGTCTCTTCATTATGCATCCACACACTGCTACTGATGATGCACATGGGTCCACAGCTAAAGTCCCAGAGTACTACTACAACAGAATAATTACTATTCCTCATAAATACCTTTGTCAGAGGACTGAACTAGGTATGCATAAAGCTTCCCAGGAAAATATGCAGTAATGCTGAAAGCCAAGAGTTTTAGCGATAAGGTGACAGGAAAATCTTGGCTCCACTAAAGTCAAATTGAACTTTGCCAGTGGATTCAGTGAAGCCCAGATTTTTGCCTTGAGAATCTGCCCAGACCAGCTGCTCATCCTGGATGTCCTGTGAGCATCTCTTGTCTGAAGGGGCTCTAAGGAAAGGTGTGCTGTCACACAATCAAAAAGCTGAATTTTAACAAGAATGTGTGCACAGTGAATGGCTCTGCTGCTCTTTTCTTGATGCTGCTCTTTGAGTGAACAACCTACTCCTTCCAGCTTTGCTATTAGTTTTTACCAAGTCAAACACTGTGGTGAGGTGCTCACGGTTGTCAGTGTTTGCGTGTCACCTTGTGAGGGAGAGCTGGCAAAAGCCATTCAAGTACAAAGGATTTTGTAAAATAGATGCTGGCTTGCTATTTGGATAGCACTGAAAGTAACTTGTGAAAAATTACAGAGTTGGCCATAAACCACTTCTTTTCCCCTGAGCTTTCCATCTTCTGTACGTACAAGTCAAGAAAAGAACCACTCTCGGCCCTTCTTCAGCAATTTCTCCAGCCGTTTTACAGCAAGTGCTTATGCTTGGAGGTGTAGTACTTGATGTTGTAGCCATTTTAGTGAAATACACCTATTGAGAGCATGGCTGACAGGGATGAGAAACAGAGTTTAGTGTGCTGATGAAGCTGGGTCTTGAGGCACTAGAGAGAACTCCAGTGAAAGGTGGACTGAAGGTACCAGCTCAAAGATGGGGATGGGAGCAGAGGTGGCCACTGACCCACAAACCTGTGTAGAGCTCTGCTTACTCTGAAGGCTGTTAGCAAACTCTTGGTCTTATTCCCAAAAAGGCAGCAAGAGGTAAGCCTCTGCTACAGGCGTCAGTTGCCACATGGGCAAATGCGATCCATGGATTATTGATAACCACATCCTAGGAAGAAGTGGAGCCTTCCAGAATAGCAACAGTGTATGATAAAATCTAACACATAAATGGAGCCAGGGTTAGCTGCACAGAGAAACTTAGTGCTTGAACACTGCCTGTGCTGGAATCTGTCACAATATGTATTACAACCTTATAATGAGGTTAGTTTATAAATTATTAATAGGTAATATGAGCACCTAACAGATAAGAATAACATGTATTATTCTCAT